TATATTCTACTCATGGACATGCACTCATGCAGTGATCAGTTCATCACATGTTCCCCTGCCATGTCTCACGAGTTTAATACATATTGTGATGTCCATTTTTTTTTACGGAAGTTAAGGACCCCAGGACCCAGGTTGGGTGCTTTTGATTGCTTTTATTATATTTATTGTGTATAAATAAAGGAGTGTGCTACTTACGTTACAGATACTTTACAACGCCTGTGTACATAAATTCATTTGTTTATTTTTTTCCGATACCCATTTTTAAACCAGGAACATTTATCGGGCAGAGATTCATTTATTTTACACGATGAGACTGTCGTACATTGTCCAATTTTCAGCAGCGTATGCTTTCACTTCTGCTGCGCCATGCAATAGCCTAACTCGGGCACATCGAAGTCGGAAATTTCTGGTAGGAACCGTGTATGCATCTTTGACGTCGATCAGACGTTGACATCCGGAGAGGATTGCCCTATTTTAAATGCTTCAGCCTCGCTAGACTGGCCGATACTGGCAGTCAAACGGTGTCAAGACATGGGTTACGAAATAGGAATAGCCACGGCAAGGCCCGCTGGTTATAATGGCACTAAAACGTCACCTGCTCAAATACCACTTGATGTGCTCCCAGAAGAGTTATACTCAACGGGTGGATATCAAATGGCTCTCAGTTATACTACACAAGAAGTCATCGACATCTTAAATTTCTACGAATTGTGCCGAATTGTGCCGTATTTTTTGATGGTATGATATTTAATATTGACTTCATTGACAAATCGCCTGCAACCGCGAACGTGACCCTTCAAAGAGCTTCAGATTTCGAGGCATGCCATAATCAGACAGTTGTAGCTGGGTGGAATTCGTTTGCCGAACGCAATTTATGTTTAGAAGGGGGATACGGTATTCGGGAAAGCGAGTTCGATAAGGCATTGGAAGCCTTAATACTTGCATGTCCTGATGAAGTGTAGAAGCAAGGGAAGATGGAATCTTCTTCACTATTGTACGGTCAACCATAATGGTAAAGGTGTAAAAATGTATTGTCAATCCACCTGTCCACACCAATTAGTATACGGCAGGGAGAGGGTGGATAGGATGTGAATAGCTATTATTTGTTTGGTTGATTTCAACCCAGAGCACGGTTTTAGAGCAGAACATTATTGAGACATGTGTATATGTACATATGGGGTAAATTGTAAATTATACTGTTTTGCAATGTAATTATTCATAGAGAATATATCAGTAGGAATTCGAGTTATGTGCGTGCAACAATTTAGCTTCCATGAGCTTGTGTGTAGGAATCGGACGCGAAGCATTCGCATACTCATACTGATCGACTACGGTCGATCGAGAGTCAATCTGTACTTTCAGGGTGATATTCTCGCTCAGTCTGCGTCCTTTTCCGATGGAACTTGCTTCACTTCCGTAGATGACTGTTATCAATAACGCCGAGTACATTTAGAGTAGCTACAAAGACAAATAGCCAACAGTGAATTCGACGAGGGACCTTGTACCTCAATAAGTAATGCGTACTTTTTACGATTTATAGGCTGCTATAATTACATACTGGCAGGTCTGATTTTGACATCCTTTTCATCTACCTGAGGCACGGCGATATATTTGATCCTACTTCCAAGCTCCAGATCCCTATCTTTCTCTTGCCCCTTTTTGGTTTTATTCTCCATGGCCTTGTTGTAAACGAAGAAACCGGCGGTTGAAAGACCATATGATCCTGTTTGAAGTGGAGTAACCGTGTTCCCCAGGAATAGCGCTCCCATAAGCACTACTCCAACATTCTTGGCCTGTCCCAAAACCTTGAAACTTAGAGAATTCGTTCGCTTGATAACAGCCATGATGAACAAATTGACCATGAAACCAAGACTTCCAGCTAGTAGATACATCAAGGGATTGTTGCCAATCTTGCTGAGCCCGCTTTCGGCCAGAATCGTGCTACCCTCGAATGGAATTACAAGGACTATTAAACATAAGAATGTGATTGGAGTGGTATGATACAAACCCTCAATAGGCCCAGAGAAAGTAGTGTTTAAAAGCTTTTGCGTCATCACCAGTTTCAAGGCCTCGAAGGTTTCCGAGCTGACCATCATCATGAATCCGATGATTGAAAAAGCGATCTCACCGTACGCTGAGGCGGCACAACCAATGACAATCAGACCAACGGCAATCAGCAAGTCTTTACGGATATTTATCATGCCAAACATGAACAAACAGAACAAGGTGATAGCAGGCGTTCCGGCCTTCAACATCTGGATGAACGATACAGAAAGGTACATGTATGCTGCATTTCCAGTGGCCAAGGTGCCGGCAGACATCAGCCCAATCGGTAGAATTTGTTTGACATATTGTTCTGGTGTTAAGTGAACATTCTGCTCCGCCCAGCCCATATGTATGAAGAAGAACGAACCGAGATATGAACAGAGCTGACCCAGACTACACAGTAGAATAGGGTAGTGGAAACCATCCTCATTCAGGATGTAGTTATTTAAAAGAATGAGAGTTGTAGAAGTGGCTGCCCAGCCTAAACATACTGCAACAGTGTAGAGAGGGCCATCTTGAAGGGTGAAATGAACACTCATTTCATACAGATGTGTATTTATAGTTATATTATTTGTTATGATTGTGATCGCTGTTGGTTGCCCGTATATATACGATGTAAATCCCTGGCGGCCTGACCTACGCAGTATGCATCGTAAGCCTATTATGAAGTTTTGTTTATTGTTTGCTCCTTTCCGCTTTTTTTAAAAACAATTCAAACTATAATAGTAAATACTAGCTTTTGCAACTGCCAGAGTTGTTTTATTGCTCCTACAACTTAAATCTCTGATGCGAATTGAGTACATGTATTGGATTTCCTACTTCCCTTCAATACGCATGTGTCCGCGTGTCAGACTGTCAGTGTAAAATGTGAATCTGTTAGATTGTATGTATGTATAGATTGTATTAATATATTCACTGTTCATTGTTCATTGTTCACTCTTCAACGGCAACCACAGTCACGAAGAGCCATGATAAGTTTGATAACTGCAGTTATAGATTATTTAATATTTAGCCTGTCTGACTTATGACCTATGTCATTTTTTAAAAATATTTTGTCAAATCAGAAACACAAAAACAATCACACGACAAACTGATGCTATTTACTTTTTCTATTAATTTGGTATTTTTCAAAAACAAAAATAGGATTTCATTATTTATTGAATGTTGATGTAAATATACTGTACTAGAGTATATTTAGTTATAGACACTAATGCTGCAATACACTGTATAGTGTTTAAAAAATATATATGTATCAATACAATCAGTGTAGCCGGTAGCGTCTCTCTCTAGTTCACAGTTAATAGTACAAAGACGTATGTAGTAGACTAACTCTCTAGAGTAGAATGACACTACTCTTTAGACTCTTGGAGAGTGACAATTGAAGTAGTAAGTAGAGTCACTAGTACGGACCATATGATTTTACTTTTTGTTAAAAAAATAGTAGTACGGAGCGATAATGTTTTTTTCTTCAAATAATAAAATTGTTAAGACTGTGATTGTGTGAGTCTGTTGCAGGCTGGCAACATGAGTCCGGGCTCTGAATTCTCCGACACCGCTCCGGAGAATCGTCAAAGTAATTACTAAATAATCAGTGTCTTCGCACTCACAGTCATAGCCCACAGGCCACAGGTGACCACTGTCCAGTGTCCACTCACAGTCTCTATTTACTGACCAGCAGAGAGCAGAGACGAAATACTAAAGAGAGAGCGATGTTGCCAGGTTGACCAACAGGCCGACTGACCAGTGACCATTGACCAAGTCTACGTGACCATTGACCAAGTCTACTGCATGACGTATAACGAGGGAATATATCCACCAATTATATCGACCAACCGTTTTATACTACCCAACAAAAACTCGTATAGAACACCAATTAGCAGTGATTGGTCATTGGACCAACAGGTTTTGTTTTACTCTCGCAGTTTCCCCCACTCTGCTCCGTTGTCCGGGAAGTCGCACTAGTGATAAACTGATAATACATGAAGAATTGACAAACCATGAGGCTGATCTTCCTCTCTCAGTCTATTAATAGTGAGAGAAGCCGCGCGTGGCGTGATTGTGTGTATGGGACTCAACCTTGGGCCGACAATGTGTACTGGCGATTTTGACGAATCGACCAACCCCGTTCTCCGATTCTCACATTGACGAGCGACGTATAGAAGGTAACACAAGCTTCTCTTCTACACACTTTGACAAATTACCAACGAAGTAATAATAAATGTTTAATCTAAAACAACAACAACAGGGGTTGTCCTAGCTCTCGACTCTGAAGAATAAAAATATGACGATATAAGTAAAAAACACATTTACATGCTTCATATTCTCATCGCATCCCCCTAAAAATTGATCAGGCGTGCGAGCTGAGCAGTCCTATGAAAGGCATTAGGTTTCTATGTACATCAAATTTATATATTGTTGGGAGTGAGGACTCAGTTTCACCCTGAACCGTACTGGGTCGACATCGCCGATCACCCCATCGCTTTGACATTGTTAGATTGTAAGTATGTTTTTTAACTTACATACTACTCGAGATGTAAATCATGCGCCCAGACATTTCAGGTTCGTGCGCGTAGATTGTGATCGAACTTACTATAAATCCCGCATCTAGCTTATATATCAGTGTGTTGTACATATTCTGCTGAATTAAACCATTCCGAAATAATTTAACATCGAAGAGCTGAACCCACAGCCAAGAAAAATCCAAATGCAGCGCCCGATTGACACATGGTAGATCCGGTGATTTGTACGAACTCGCGGCCCTTGGCTCCCACTCTGTAACGAATTGACGGTTGAGGCATGCCTGTTAGTTAGACCGTGTGCGCATCTTGCCGGTAGGCGGGATGATATTATATATATATATATATAGATAGGTATACACACACACACACACACACACATATATATATATATGCATGTTTGTATACATAACGTACGTAAACATATACATATTCATACACATTTACATATATAAATAATATAATATGATATAACAATATGGAAATATATATTGAATATTCGAAAAGAAACAATACCGAGTAGTTGCACTTATCTGTTCAGATAGTGATATCGTAGCCTCGATTGCTAGCTCTGTATAACATAAATTGGCGATAGAACATTCGTCGCATGTACTTATTTACATGTGCTTGTCAGCAAGATCATGCGTCTTGTTCTATATAGATCGTCGCAAAGAACACTGCAGTTGTGTATAAGACACAGCCAAAGATTCGTACACGCCACACCATAATTGAAACGGAATTTCACAGTGCACACGAACTAAGTGAATAATGTTTCTATTTTGAATAAGAAATAAGAGACGATCAAAATAAGCCCACAGCCCAAAAGAGAAATAAGCTGGCAGAACATACTATATTACGTCGATGAGTATGTCAATGCATGTCAATAGCTACATACATGCACTCAAACGCAACCATACACACGTGTGTGTAGTCAAATAAGGACATACAAAGAAAAGAAAAAACAAACGCCCACCTCAAGACGCATATAAAAAACCATATACATATGCAAATGAAATTCAGAATCACTTGTAGCGTAGATCACCATATACACATATATATACACATACACATATAATATATAAATCTATATATATATCTTTATGTACAGACATGAACAGAAACATATTAACATGAAACTTACACTACATACACGCACACATATATATTTAAAAATATATAGAAAAGTATATAAACAGTTCTATATTTATTCGTAAAATTAAGTTATAAGATGTAATACATATATATATACATATAAATACATACATTAATATATATATAAAAATACATACATACAGAAATACATACATACAAACACACATATATATATACAAACATACATACATTTATTCATGTATACATATATACATGAATAATAAATGGATGTATGTTTGTATATATATACGTGTTTATACATATATATATATAAATACATATATTCATACATATACATATATTTATATATAAATATACATACATACAGAAATACATACATACATACAAACACACACATATATATACAAACATACATACATTTATTCATGTATACATGTATATATGTATA